GGGGTGGGCCCCGGGGCCCCCGGCAGGCCTGGCCGTGCCGCCCCGGCAGACCTGGCACTGTGCCATCCTGCAGGCGAGAAGCCCTACATCTGCCCCTACGAAGGCTGCAACAAGCGTTACTCCAACTCCAGCGACCGCTTCAAGCACACCCGCACCCACTACGTGGAGAAGCCCTACTCCTGCAAGATGCCGGGCTGCCACAAGCGCTACACCGACCCCAGCTCCCTTCGCAAGCACATCAAAGCTCACGGCCATTTTGTCTCTCCCGAGCACCCGGAGATGCTCAAGGTCCACCCACCTCCCAAAACGCCCCTGGGTTCGGCAGAAGTGCCCTACGTTAACGGGGCGCAGCTTGTGATCCCCAACCCCGCCGCCCTCTTCGCTCCCCCGGGGCTGCCGGCGTTGCCCATCCCTTTGGCCCCGGCACCGCTCGACCTCAGCGCTTTGGGCTGCGGGGCTGCCGGCGCCCTGCCCGGCCCCGTCTTGCCCCTCAACGGCGGCCCCCTGAACTTGGCCAAGAGCCCGCTGCTGCCCTCGCCCTTCGCGGCCGGGCTGGGGCTGCCCGTCATGTCGCTGCTGGCCGGCGGGGCCAAGGCCGAGGGGGAGAAGAGCAGCGGGGCCGAGGGGCGGCTGCCCAAGACGGGCAAGGGGCCGGAAAGCCGAAAGGAGAGGTGCGAAAGGACGGAGCCGGGGCGGCCGCGGGTCCCCCCTGAGAGCCTGGCGCTGCTGCCGGGGGCCGTGCTCGATCTCTCGGCCGGGGGCAGCCCCGAGGCGCTGCCGCCCGGCTGGGTGCTCATCCCCCCTGGCTCCTTGCTGCTCAAACCCGCCGCCGTGAATTGAGGGGCCTGACGATGCCCGGGGCCAGCCGCCGGCCCGGCGGGCAGATCCCTCTCCCTGGGCTTTGAGGGGGGGCATCGCCCCCTTCTCCCCCTTGCAGCCCCCCCCCAGCCCCAGCGGGGCCTCGCTCGTGCTTTTAATCGTCACGAAAGAAGAACAGACTCTTCTGAGAAAAGCAATAATCCCTCGGTGGCCGGAGCTGGCTGCGACCCCGTGCCGGGGGGCAGCCGTGGGGCAGGCAGGGGTACGGGGGGGGTCCCCCTGCACCCCCCTGGCCTGGGCAGCCGGAAACACCGCTATTTATTTCTCGACCAGCCCCCTGCTCTGACAGGGTCCCACTTGGGCTCATCTGCTGCCGCCAACTCGGCATCTTCTCCCTGCCCGAGACCTCAGCATCGCCAGTGCCGGTGATGGGGGGCTGCAGCCCCCGGCCTCCCACCGCAGGGAGAGGGGGGGGACAGCTTGGGGACCGCCTTCTCCCACAGCCCTAAGCTGTGCCCGGCCGTGCTGTCCAACCCTGCCTGGCCGGCACAGCTGCGGGCAGGGCCACGGCCACGGCACCTCCGTGCCGGGCCCAGCTGGCTGGGCAAACGTCGGCCCGGTGCCCGCCCGCATCCCTCCCACTCTGCGGCCGCCCTCGTGCCCCACCGCCTCCCCGGCCCTCCCCGTGACAAGGCACCCGGCTGCGTGTGCCGCTCGCCGTGCCGGCTCCGCGCCGGGGCAGAGCCACCCTGTTT